AGAGAGAGAGAGAGAGAGAGTGAGTTATATAATGCAATAGTATGATGGATAGCTGTGTAGAGTTAAAGAAATATTGTGAAAGCGTCCCTGTACATTGGATTTATGGGAGGGCAGAGAGGAATACATATTTGTATCGTGTATACTCTGAGACTTTTATTTGTTTGTTTTTTATTTGCTTTTTGTTTGTTTGTATGTTTGTTGTGTGGGTGTGGGATGCGTCAGCGGGGAAAGTTGAAAGAAATATGAGAGGATGTGGGAGAACACAGCTCAGAGTGAGAGACAAAATCATTATTTGTTCCTGGGGATTGATGGAAGGTAAGAGAGAAACCCGGTGCTAGTAAATAGGTGTGCATGTGTGGGGGTGTCATTGTAGGTGGGTGTGGGTGTTTGTTTGTGGGTTTATTTGTGTGTGGGTTTATTTGAGTGAGGACGTATCTGTGTGTGGGGGTTATTTATGTGCGGGTTTATTTGTGTGCGTGTGTGGGGGGGTATATTATGGGGCTGTTCAGGTGATGTTTGTGCGCTTGTTTTGTATTTGTACCGGGGTGGAAGTGAATGGGGAGCAAGGGGGGGAGGGGGGACACAAGTTAATAGTACTGTGTAATACAGCTATTTTATTACCATTGTAATATGTTATTGTGAAGTAAAATTGTATTTCTTGGCTGAAAGAGGTCAAGACAGAAGGGGGGGGGTGAGAAAAGAAACGGGCAGGGAAAGGGAGAAAGGGAGGTGGGTGGTGGGGAAGACAGGATTGAGGAGTGAAGTTGTGCGGAGTGATATTCTGTAGACGTGGCTGTTTCATGAAATAAAAATGTAATTGCTTTCTTTCAAGCGAGCTGGTGGCTGCCCAGATAGTGGGGCAAAATTGCAAAACCTTATTTTAGATATAAACACTTTTTTTCAGCTCGAAGTTCAAGCAGGGAAAGCCAGAAACAAATTGCACGTTTCTCAAACAGAATTCGAACATGTCCCCCCAATTTTCCAGCCAAAACTGGGGAGAGGCTGCAGCTAATGCAAAAGGTGTCTCTGAAAAATCTGGGTATATGAGTAAAAAATAAGAAAGACGAGTTCAAGCTAGGGGCAGTGTCTTGAAACATCGAATTTCTTTACAGTTCAAAGCGCCGTGTTTCAGACAGAAAGATTGTCTAGGTCGAAGGTGGCCACGTAGATTGATCTTATGTCGATTTATGCCAAGAAAATGGCAGGCAATAGCCGCAGTCTTAATGGGTGTTGGGGGTGATTCCCCTTTGCTTACATGATGTCACCCTTAAGGCAAAGGTTGGCGGAAATGTTATTGATATGTGTCATTAAACGATTTTACGCTGTTTTTGGGGATAGCTCTTGTCATTGTAAAACGTGTATATGTTTTATGCGATGTAGACCAATGGCTGAACAAAACACTCAACAAAAGACCCGTCCACCTACCTTAAAGAAAGGGACAATTATTATTTATTAAGGCAATTGTACATTCGTGCCCGATAGTGGGTTCATGGTGAGGCTATGTGCATGAACTAACCAAACGAGCTGAACCAGTTAGGTGTGAGGTGATGTGAAGTTAGGGATGGGCTTATCGTATATAGAAAAAATTCGGGAGCGCTTCGAATAGCAGAAGTTAGGGCTGGGCTTATTGTATAAAAAAGCAATTCGACGGCCCTGTGAATAGTGAGTGATTGTTGACTAGCGGAAGTTAGTCTGGGCCTATCATAATAATATACAAGAAAAAGACATTCGACAGAGGTAGTCGAATAGCATGAAAGTGTGCTCACACTTCGAATCTTCGATCAATTTTTGTTTCCTCAAAATCGCACAGCACTTGTGAGGAACGACACAGCAGCTGGAAATGCAGGGAGCGAGAATCTAACCCAAACTTGCGCAAGAAAAATTAATTTTATCTTTTTGGACAATAAGCATTCCTTGTTCCCTCAAATAAAATTATCATTCAGAAGTAAAAGTCCTAGGCTTCTGATCTGTAACAAAGAAAGATACAGAAGGTTATTCTTACAATCATCCATCAAACTTCTTCCATCTTAATCATCTTGTTATAAGTATTCATATGGCCTTAGAGAATGCATCAGAATACCATTGAGTTACAATTAGAATACTCAGTATGTATCTAGCTTAACATTTTTATTGTTTATGTTACTTTTCATTTATATCATGCATGCGGCTGTGAGCCTGCTTGTGAGTGCAAGCCTTATGCGCGTGTGTGTGTGTGTGTGTGTGAATGTGGTAGTTGTTGCCTGCCTTTTCAAGTTTGAG